TGGTATGTGTGAGTGATACATGGGATGAGATATACAAAAATGCAGAAATGGGTACGAAACTAATTTACATCTGGCTAAGTGATAATCTATTTTGTTGCAATTGCATTACTTCGTTGGTCCCAGCACTGGGACCGAACGCCCCATAAGTCGAAACTTGTGCGGGGTTAGGTAAGCAGACACACACAAACATCCATGACCTAACTAGGATTAGAACCTATGTCTCGGTGGGAGTCCCCATTCGAACTCAGCACCTTCACGCTCTCGACCACCGAGCCACTCCAAAATGAGGGTGATGTTTTTTATGAAGGATATTGAGCCTCAATATAGAAAAAACGAAGTTAATAGCTTTTTCATCAACTGAAAAAGATGAGTCTAAGAAAATCCTTCTGAAAATCCACAGATCTACATGTACAGAATTTCCAAACTGCTCCTGTTCACAAATAAATAAGACGGAATCAATCAAGTATTCAGCCAACCAAAATCAACGTTGGAACAATCATAAAGATTACACAGTGGAAAGACTCCGGAAGTTGATTTACAAATTTTATTAACTTTGAAATATTCTGAGAAGAGATGTGATGTTGACGGTTTATAGGACCTTGGCTAAGTCGTCTACTACTAGTACTTAGACTTCTACTAGAGAAGATGCATATGGACGTGAGCCATACTGGTGGACACTAGAAATAGAAGAACTCAGAAAAAAATTACTAATAGCACGTAGGAAATACACAAGACAACACAGAACTAACACACAAGAGCTTCAAACACTGAAAAACATATACAACACGGCCAAAGCGACACTCAAGAAGAAAATACTCATCGAAAAAACAGAATGCTGGAAAGACCTGATCAAAAATGTAGAAAATGACCGTTGGGGCGATGCATACCGTATAGCCAGGCAGACGTTAAAAGTACCACATTCCAAGCTGAACCTCACTGATAAACAGCGCGGAGAGATTGCAAAAAACCTCTTGCCAAGACACCCCCTCGTGAGTTGGTTGATACCAGACGACGAAGTCTCAGACATATCTCTGGAAGAAATCAGAAGTGATGCCTATAAACTCAAGGAAGGAAAATCACCAGGACCAGATCGAATCCCACCAGAAGCAGTGAAACTGCTCATTAACATATTTCCAGGACATGTTAAAAGTATGCTGAATATGCTATTAAGACAAGCGATATTCCTTGGAATATGGAAATCCGCGAAACTTGTTTTGATACCGAAGAAATCCGGAAATATCAAATCAGACCTACAGACCAATATGCCTTTTAGATGTTCTCGGTAATCTGTACGAACACATCATACTAGGAAGACTGAACGAAGAACTTGAAAGAACAGGAGACCTCAGTGAACATCAACATGGTTTCAGAAAACAAAAAACAGCGTATGGAGCAATAGAAGAAGTAATCAATTTTTTCCACACAAGCGAACAATCAAAAGAAATTCTGTGCACTCATTCTTCTCGACGTGAAAAATGCATTCAATACGGCACCATGGACTGAAATAATAAGCAGCATGAGAGACAGAGGAATAGCATCAAATCTCATCAAGATCGTCTCAAGTTACCTCTCTGGAAGAAGCGTACAAACAACCCGCAATAAAAGAATGGAGATAAGTGCAAGCGTACCTCAAGGAGCTGTGCTTGGACCTTGCCTCTGGAATATCTTCCACGACGGAGCACAACTAGTAGCCTACGCAGATGATCTGGCAATTGTAGCATCGGGAAAGACTATGTTCGACCTAGAGATGTGCGTCAACGCGTCAACGAAAGCCTGTTCATAGTAGGATCATGGATGGAGAGGAACGCTCTACAACTTGCAGCAGAAAAAACACAAGCAGTCATGCTCTGCAGAAATAGAAGGCCGACTATGCCAACTTTCGAGCTGAGAAATGAAAAGATACAAATATCTAAAGCGGTGAAGTATCTTGGAGTCACTATAGACCAGAGGTTGAGCTTCACGGAGCATATCAAAACAGTGACCGAGAAAGCAGATCGACAAGCAAGGGGCAATGTCGAGACTAATGCCAAATATTGAAGAGGTCCTAAAGCAGAACAACGAAGAGTATATGCGTTGGTAATACACTCCACGTTACTATATGCAGCACCAGTATGGATTGACACGTTGAAAATCAAGAAAAACCATATCAGACTCGCAAACACACAGAGGAGGATGGCCCTAAGAATAGCCAGTGCATATAGGACCGTGTCTACAGAGGCTGCAACACTGATTGCCGATCTAGTCCCAATACACCTCCTGGCCGAGGGGAGACTTTACGTCCACAGGTCAAACAACAAAAGTGAGGCGAAGAAAGAAGCTAGACAAATTTTCATAAACAAATGGCCAACAATAACAACAAATGCAGTCTGGACAAGAAGACTCATTCCAAGAATACAGGTATGGTTGAGTTGCCCACACAAAGAGATAGACTACTACCTCACACAAGTGCTAACCGAACACTGATACCATACCTATCTTGAAAGAATTGGAGCAAGCGGTACCAATATCTGTATTCATTGTGAGCAGATAGACACCGCAGAACACACGGTATCCGAATGCGGACGATGGAATCGAAAGAGACTGGAAACTCACCTAAGATTGGGAAGGAACATTAATGCAGACAATATTATATCTACGATGGTGGAGAGCAAAGGAAACTGGCGTATCATTCATAGATTCATCAAGGGAATTATGAAGCAGAAAGAAACAGACAGAAACAGAATTCAGAATATCCGAACTCCTAATCCTCGGAAGAGGGAGGAGAGAGTAAGAGAACAATGAATGGAAAAGAAAATGAAACTGAGGCAACCCTACCAGCACTGATGATGTTTTCTGAGAAAACCGTACCAGGGTGGCGAGGCAGTTCACGAGGGCCAAATGTCTACTACTACTACTACTACTACTACTACTACTACTACTACTACTACTACTTCTACTACTGTGGAACATCTACTACGATGGTGTTTTAGACCTACCGGTCCCTAAAAGTGTAAACCTGATAGGCTATGCAGACGACCTTGCCGTTGTAGTGGTAGCAAAAAACGGGGAAGAACTAACGGCGATAGCTAATAGAAGCCTGGAAAAAATAACCTGGTGGATGACGACGAAACAACTGAAGCTCGCGCCCCAGAAGTCCGAGGTAGTACTCCTGGCAGCCGGAAGGAAACTGAAAAACATCACAGTAAATATCGAAGGCACAAACGTTCATAGCCAAGAATCCATCAAATACCTTGGTATCCATATAGATCGGAATATGAGAATGGGGACACATGTCAGAAAAACTGCGGAAAAAGCTGGCAAAACGCTAGGCAGAATCAGTAGACTCCTGCCTAACATCGGGGGTCCCAGAGAAGGCAACAGACGGATTCTATGCTCAGTAGTACAATCGACTATCCTATACGGCGCCTCAACCTGGAAAAGAGCTATGGAGAAGCAAGTGTATAGGAACATATTACTGAGTGTGCAGAGAAAAGTAGCCATTAGAATAGCGTGTGCCTACAGAACCGTATCAACAAAAGCTTTACTGGTAATCGCAAGAACCCCTCCAATGGACCTATTGGTAGAAGAGAGAATGATGATAGGAAACGGCGAGCATAGGAGCCTAGCAAGAAGACAGATTATGGACAAATGGCAACAATCATGGAGGTCTAACGAAGACAAGGCCATATGGACAAGAAGGCTCATAAGGGACATAGTACCTTGAATGGACAGAAAATGGGGCGATGTGAACTTTTTCCTCGCACAATTTCTGACGGGTCATGGATGCTTCCAAGCATATCTGTTTAGATTCAAACTGAGTAACACAGAGGAATGTCAGTACTGCGGAATGATAGATACTGCGGAGCATACAATCTTTATATGCGTCCGCTGGGAAGAACATAAGAGAACTGCCGAAGCTACAACAGGACGACTGACGCCAGAAAATATCGTAGAAAAAATGCTACAAACCAGAGAAAACTGGGAAGAAATCAGCAAATGCGTAAAGAGTATCATCTCCACTAAGAGAAGAGAAATGGAAAATACTAGGGAACAAGGAATGAACAATCAATGAAGATGGAAAAAAAAGGGAAGAGCCCCCGACACCAATAGATTGCGCCTCTCTGAAGTAATGCCCGAGGTCGGTTCCGGAGAGGTCTACTTCAAATCGTGAAGGGTTTTTTAGTCAGTAAAAATCTGACACTGTCTGGGAACTGGGGCACCCATTCGTCTTACCGAAGATTTTTCCACTCCTAAAAAAAACTACTACTACTACTACTACTACTCCCCTCGGGAAAAATAATAAAAGGAAGAGCCCATAACAACAACAGAACGACCCTCTTCGAAGTAATACCCGAGGGTAGTCCCGAAGAGGCCTTCCTAAGTTCACGAGTGGTTTTTTAGTCAGTAAAAATCTGACACTGTCTGGTCAATGGGCGACCATTCGTCTCTTTGAAGATTTTCCACTCCCAAAAAAAAAAAAAACTACTCATCTCGGGGGCCCACAACTAGTGAGAACGGTTCTGGCAGGCCCAAGGTGCCCTAGCTGGATCTCATTCTGTTTCAACTAGTCTTGGATGGGACCCTTCTCTTTTTATCTTTCCTGTCAGACCTCCCTTGGTCAACTCTTGTTTCCTTTCGACCCCGATGCTATTAGGCTTGCGAGGGCTAGGGGTCATTCCCGATTTCCTCCTCCTCTCAATCTGAAAACGGAATCTATGGTGTAAGCTAACGTGCCAATAGATAGATGGCCACACGTGAGATCGGTCGCGAACGGTGCCTCTGGAGATGTGGGCGTCTCTTCAGTAGTATAGCCTTATCACGGCAAGCGGGGCTTTGCCGTGATGGACAGTCAGTACCCTAGCTACTCGTGAGAATCAGATGGAAGGAATTGAAAAGAAAAACTTAGGAGATGAAGGAGATACAAAAATACCGGTGACAAGCCAGGAAGATTCGAAAGATGAGAAGAAAGTGGACAAAGTACATTATGATGGTTTGGTCTAAACACAAAATTCATTCGCAAGGAGTAGAGTATTAGCATGGAAGCCAGAAAGGAGGCAAAGAAGCGAATCTCTACCTGCAGAAGTCGACGAACTAGGCAAAATCACGAAAAGAAAAAGACAGATCAGTAGCGAAAATAAAGAAAGGGTGGAGGAAAGAGACCACATAGCCAAAGGTATGAACAAGATTCTAAAATTGATCGTACAAACAGACTTATATGTCAAGGACTTATGTAGGGTTATCGGGGAAATCCCTAACACAAAAAAAGAAATCAAAGAAATATCGCTGAAGATTAGAAACTCGCTAAATCGATTAATGATTAATGAAAGACAAGATGCAGGAGAAACTGGAAGCGGGACAAGTAACTGAAAGAAAGGAATATTCTCATGAAATGACTGAGGTGGAAGTGGAAATGAAGAGCTGTTGTGGTGTAGAAACACAAACAGAAGAAGAAAATGGAGAGGAGGTAGAGCATGCCACTGGCGAAGAAAACATACTGAATGAACTATTTCAACTTGACAGTTATGAAACATTCAAGGAACTGGCAGCGAAGAGTTGGCCAGAAGAAATCTATGAGAGATCCAAATTCGAGTTCACAGATGCCATATCATATGACGACAGCTATGATGAGGTATACATCCTGGATAAAAATAAGGATGCAGAAAACCCATTGATAAAAAAGCTGATAAAACAAAGAGGACAGATAAAAGATGCCATCTTCAATAAGAATACTGACTATGGCAAGGTGATCCATATGAAATCTAGGAATGGGCGTGTACACCTTAGTAGAACTTTTAACTCAAACCATGTTTATAATGATCCTTTTATACATGAATAATGATTGACGACATAATTCGATCAAAAAATTAACTGGAATGTTGTATTTTTGGACGTAAATGATAGTACCTTCTGAAAACGGAGACCCTCTTATGACGTAGAAACCCCATCTCGCCGTATATATATATATATAAATCATATATATCTACTACTGGTATATGAATCATAGCTCTCCTCAAAGCGGGACCTATTTCTGTCTCCATAGGTAATGAAATCGACCAATAGGCGTTGATAACGACGTAGGGAAAAAATAATAGGAAATTTGTCAAATCAATATGGCTGTTTCCATCCTTCACTTTTCGTTCTCATAGATTCAAAGAGTACCTCTCATTTTGGTCCCATTTTTGTTGAGATATCGTATAGGCGATGCGCCATATATAGAAATAGTAGATATATGGTTGAAACTGACACTCTCCTGACACTTATTACTGTTGCCATATCATCCAAACAAAATATCCGAGAAATCGAAATCGATATTGAAATATCTTTTGATATCCACTACCACTACTGCAGAAAAATATATTCGAGTTGTCGATTGTAGGTTGAATCATTGGAGTATAAACAATCTCTAGACAACGAAATGTCTCAATCTCAAAACCATTTGCACCATTACAATTTCACAATAATCCAATATATTTCATAAACATAGCAACATTGCTTTGTTGACCCGTTTCATGTATCATTCATCTCTGTCTGGAATAGTCTTGTTTCAGTATTAGGGTTTTGACGTCACATCATCGCCTCGTTTTCAGAGGTCCGAAAAATCGGGGATTTCAATAATTTTTTATAAAACGTAGGGAGCTCACAGCAAGAAACGGTTTGCGGTGGTGAGCTAGTTTGGGTGAGTTCTATCGAATTATGAAATAAATTTTTTTTGTGATATAAGCCCATTGTGTGGTGAAGAAAGAAAATGGAGGGGGAGGGGATGATACAGAGAGATATACCTATGAAACCAACCTATAGACTAAACAGGAGATGGAGGAGGACGAGATGGATTTTAATAACAACCGAATGCTATGCTCAATAAGAAAAATTAGGGAAATAGCAGAAAAATACGAAAGGAAAAAGCTCACAATAACAGCTACAAATGGGACATATGCAGAAGGGCTAAGAAAAATGATTAAATGTATATTTCATGGTAGTGATATGTCGATAACACTACTGAAGACTAAACAACAACATAGCCAAAGTGAAGGAGGAGAGATAAGGATGGTGCAACAGGAAGCTGAAAGGAAGAGATATACAGAGGAATGGAAAACACAAAACAGAAAAAGACCTGAAACGATTATCATCAAACCGGCAGGAGGAACTGATATCGCATATGCGGATATAGTCGCGAAAATGAAAGAATCTATAGATACGGATGAAATGGGTGTAAAGGTACACAATGTGAGAAAGACGGCAAGAGGAAATATTAAAATCGTAGTAAAGGTAGTGAAAGATGGAGCGGTTGAAAACTTCCGAAAAAGGACCAGAGAAAGCCTTGTGGGTATGGCAACTGAAATCGAAAAGAGGGTTGATGAAACTTTTCTTGTTATAAGAGATATAGAAGTAACAACAACCAAAGAACAGATAGAAAAAGCCATAGAAGACTCAATTCAAAACGATAAAGAAGGAAATGATACGAAGATCCACACATTGAATGGGAATAGAAAAAGAGGGAATCTAGTAGCTACTGTGAGTATGAACAAACACGGCGCTGTTGAGCTACTTCAGAGGAGGAAGATAATAATAGAGTGGGCAACATGCAGAGTACACGAACTACTTGTACCAGAGAGATGCTCGGGATGCTGGAAATATGGTCATACGAGGAGAGACTGTAAGGAGACTAGGAAAGATATGACAGGAATATGTCTGCGTTGTGGGGAGAAGGGACATTATGTGAAACAATATGAAAATGCAGCCAAGTGCCATGACTGCAAAATCGAAGGACACATAGCGGGAAGAATGGAGTGTGAAATATATAGACGAGAGGTTTGGAAATTGAAAGAAAAAAGAGGAATGAGAGTGAATACGGAAATAAATCAACAAAAGGAGACACTGAAAGAAGTGGTACTCAGCAGTGATGGTAGATATTTTAAGCATAATACAAGTGAACATAGATAGAAGAAGGGGTGCAGTAGACCTCTTGTACAAGACAGTAGAGGAAATGTAGGTGGACATTGCATTATTGCAGGAACCAAATATCAATATGATGAGCAAGACCCCAGGTAGCACATCATATTGGCTGGAACTCGATTTCATATTGGGCCGATATAGATATATCGTACGTGTGAAAAATAATATAGGTCCAATATGAGAGTATATTGGACAAACAATATTGGAATGATGATATTGGTGAAATATTGGTTCAACCTGAGCTGAATATGGATTGTCAGCTACAATATTGGAGCAATATTGGTTGTAACATTCGTTAACAATGTATTGAAAAACATATCTATGAATGTTATATAATATCGTTTTACGAATGTCGATACAACAACATCGTATACATATTGTTCCCGACATTTACAACCAATATTGCAATTTGAACATTCTCCCTATGTCGATTCTGAAACGGTTATGCAATATTGTAGATTCAAGTTAAACGGCATATCGGTTGGATATTGTTTTAACAATATTTGAAACATTATATTCACCCATCTTGATTGATATCATTTTATCTATTTCATGCGACAGATATCGTATACCATTTGCTTCTTACATTTATAACCAATATCGCGATTTGAATATTGTCCCCATGTTGATTCTGAAGCGGTTGTGCAATATTGTATATTTGACTTCGACGGCATATTGGTTGAATATTGTTTCAACAATATTCGAAATATCATATTCACCTATCTTGAAAAATATCATTCTATCCATATCATGCGGAAGATATCGTATACATATTGTTTCCAACAATTATAACCAATATAGCAATTTGAACATTCTCCCCATGTCAATTCTGAAGCGGTTATGGAATATTGTATGTTCGAGTTCGACGGCATATTGGTAGAATATTGTTTCAACAATATTTGGAACATAGAATTCACCTATATTGACTCATATCATTCCAACTATATCATGCGGAAGATATCGCACACATATTGTTTCCAACAACTATAACCAATATCGCAATTCAAACATTCTCCCCATGTCGATTCTGAAGCGGATATACAATATTGTGCAATCGGATTCGACGGCAAATTGGATGAATATTGTTTCAACAATATTTGAAACATCGAATTTACTTATATTGATTGATATCATGCGGAAAATATGGTATACATATTGTTTTCAACAATTATAACCAATATCACAATTTGAACATCCTCCCCATGTCGATTCAATATCGTATTTTCAAGTTCAATTGCATATCGGGTGAATAGTTTTCTAGCCATATTCAGAAAATAATATCATCTTATATTGGCTGATATGTGATTCACTATATCATGTGAGCAATATTGTTCACATATTGTTTTGAGAATACATATCGATATCGAAATTTCGATATTTATTCCATATAACGCAATCCCAAACCGATGTCGATAGATGGCGCTATAAATGATTGGTAACGTACTCCCATTGCCGATCAGACGAGAGGATATAAATATTGGCTCTAGACGATTGTAAAGTATTATAACCTGGAGTAGGGGTTAACCGTGATCAACAAGGCGGCTTCCCCTTTGTGATTATTCCTGATGCGAATATAACTCGCAAATATTGGTATCGAAATATTCCACCAATATTTTCAAGACAACATAGCTACATAATGATTTTCAATAATGTACCAATATTTCCAACCAATATTGCACCAGTATTGTCAAATGTTCACTGTCCATTTATCAGCAATATTGATATCACATTTTGTGACCAATATAACTTCACGAATATTCCAGCAATATTGGTATGGGAATATTTTACCAATATTTCTGAGACAACATACCTTCATGATGATTTTCAATGATTCACCGATATTTCCATATATTACACCAATATTGCCGAATGTTCACCATTCATTTCTCGCCAATATTGATATCACATTTTGTGTCCGATATAACTCTACGAATATTCAACCAATATCAATATGAGAATATTCTACCCACATTTGGAAACTGATATTGTACCAATATCGCCGAATGTTCACATTTTTTTTCTCGCCAATATTACTTTCACAATATTTTGCCGATATTTTCGTAATATTGCACCGATATTGTCCCAATATATGTGTGCTACTTGGGACACCTTGGATAAAAAACATAACCTCAGAGGTGGCAATTGGAATATTCAGTAAGGAATACAGGATAATGAATACGAGGAAAGGAAAAGGATTTATATGGGTGGAACTCAAAGATATGTTCGTGTACTCAGTATACATCGCGCCAAATATACAATATGAGCACTATAGGGAAATAATAGGAGCACTCAGTGATAGCATAAAAAGCCAAAGCAAAGAAATTCTCATTGGAGGAGACTTCAATGCAAAGGCAAGGGCATGGGGAAGTTCCACAGAGGACCGTAGAGGAATCGAACTCGCGAAATGGATTGCAGAAAGGAACCTCGTTATCCAAAACATAGGAAGCTCACCAACGTTTGTAAGAGAAGAAAGTAACAGCATAATAGACTTAACGATTACTTCTGGAAAGAACTCCAACTGGATAAGAGAATGGCAGGTGAGGGATGAAGAAAATTATAGCTACCATCAATACATCACCTATAAAGTGGACAAGATAAGGAGAACCTATACAAACTCGAACACGGGACAAAAATAACAGATCAACAATAGGAAGATGAAGAAATTCCTGGACGAAGTGGGAGTGAAATTACCACAGAACATGAGTGACAACTGTAGAGCAGAGACTCTCGGTAATATCTTAGAAGAAGCATGTAACAAAACATTTGAAACATGAAAATTTGCCTTTTCATGTTCCATAGTGTGAATTCTGCAAATAGGTGATGGGGAAGCTTTGTAGAGATGCACTGCGTAACTCAATGACTTCTTTTCTAGGTTTTGAGGTACTTTGTAATTCCATCTTGTTAAATGTTTACATTTTCAATGTCCATGACTGGTTGATTGTTGGGTTATTTCAGTCCACTTCTTAACAATTCTTACACATTTCTCAGATGCCCATGAATATTGTTGTTTCCATCATAGTCTCTTGGCAGTAGAAGACTGTTTGTCGCGTTTAGTGGCAGTGGCCTGTAATGGTGCAGGGATATTCGCAATTTTGTATCGACTGGTGAATCGACTAATGTATCGACTATCGTATCGAATATCGATGTCATGATCGATATTTAATATTTCTTTCAAGTTGCATTCCTGACTTGAATCATATTATTTGGGTGGCTAGATTTACACTGCGCAGAGACGGAATTTGGTTTGTATTATTTTTTTTAAATGGATCAAAAGTGCTCTGATTGACGGAAACTTGTTATTTGAGCAATTTCCGTTCATTCATCCTTCTTGCTGATTCCTTCTCTTGCGAAAAGGTTTCATGTGCTGAAGCCAAAATGAGGCCCTCTTTGCTTTTGGCTCTCGTGCGATCAGGTCAGGTGGTGGACACCTACTTTTGTGTTAGGCCTTTCCGATAGGAAGGTAAGAAATATTAAATCTCATTTTGTGTGAATGATATTCGATAGGGTATCTACATTTCAGATATCACGGCCTTATACAGGGGAGTACGGGGTACAGAAGTGGATGATATAAACTCCATTTTCTTTTGACCACATGCTATGTTTCTGGACTTGCATTTCATTAATCAACACTGTTAACTGGATGGATCACTAAATATCGAATCACATCAACTATGGGCATTTAGAAATCTTGAACTGTTTTCTGAACTTCACTGTTTGGACATCACTTGGACACTTTTTTCGATGGTTGAGGCACCTGAGGGATCTTCGTGCTTTGAAGCCTGAGTCACCAACACACTTGAAGGTGGAAGCAAGACCCTGGTGATTTCTTGTGTATGTCTCTGGGCATCTATAGGACCCGACAGCCTGTAATTTCTGGCAGAATCCTTGCTGCCAACAGTGCAAGTCCCTAGTAGTCTTCTGGTTCAGATAGCCAGTGATCCTGACTTCTGACAGGAAGTCCAGGGGAGTCCAGACTCCCGGTATGTTTGATGATCCTGCATCCCTAGGATTTTGTTACCTTGGAGCCTGAACTCCCAGAGCCCAGTCAGATAGTGAGACGTCCTGGTCCAGCTTGGATGGTAGGAAGAGCTTGCCCTGGTGGCAGCCTGTGGACCCATCAGCCAGAGTTGCAGTGCAGAATCCAGTTGCCCTGGGATAAACCAAGTGCCCAGGTCTCCAGGTGGTTGTGACTCCTGTCAACTGTGTGGGGATCCAGTTTTCCTAGCACACCTAACCCCTAACGCCGACTGAGGGAGGAGTGTCTTTGTTCATCCAGGTAGTGAGATCTAGTGGACCACAGTTGGAATCTCATGGTTCAAAATCCAGAACTTGCAGCTAAGGTCAGAATTTTCCATATACATACTTTTTTTCCTGTCTTGAGGACATTTCACTTGCATATTTTTTCCCTGTCTGAGTACATTCAACATGTAATTTTTTTCCCTGTCTGGAAGACATTTAACATACATATTTTTTCCCTGTCTTGAAGACATTTAACATACCATATTTTTTCACTGTCTGAGGACATTTAAATATTCACTTTTCACTGTCTAATGTCATGAGATATTGGAACACTTGTCAATAACACATAACAGTCTAAGATCGGATTTTACATATTATAATAGAATTATTGGAACTGTTAGAGACTCTGTGAACAGAAATTATAGGCCTATATGAAGGGAAATCTACCCTTGTACTGAGTTACAATCATAGTACATATTTACCACCATTTTGAATACCTATTGTTGACATGTTGAGGTGAATAAATCTGTTAACAGTTATTTTGGCTTATATTTATATCTTGGATTTTTTTCTCAGTAATTCAGCTGTGAAAACTGAGTGGCGCCTGACAAAAGGATAACCCCACTAGTTACCTATAAAAAGAACTCACGACCTGCTCCCAAACAAACGAGCTGCCGTGCCTATAACAAGTAAAAATATTTTTCTTTTCCA